TTAGATTATAATATTATATTGATTTTTGATATTATTTTAAGAGTAAAAGATCTCTATTATAAATAAGCTATACTTTTATTTTATTTATTTTATTATTTTGAGAATAAAAAATCTCTATTATAAATAAGTTATATTCTTTTTGATTAATTATTTCATTATTTTTTTTAGTATTTATCTTTTTCTTAGTTATAATCTTCTTTGATTAATAGTAGTTTTATTATTTAATTACTTTAAGTCTTGAATTATATTAATTATTAGTGACTTTACTAATTAATCTTTATAATTTCTTTAATTTATTTAATTCTTTATTATTTTATTATTTCTTTATTAAAAATAATATCATAAATATTAATACAAACCTTAGAAATCTTTGTCATTATTAAAAGTATAGTTTAATTCTTTTCTCTTTATCTTTTAATTAATTCAGTTTTTCTCAACTTAATATTATTAAGATAAATTCAAGTGAAAATTCACTTACTAATTCACTATAATAATATTAATTAATAATATTATTAAAATTCAAATTTTAATATTTTAAAATTATTTATAATTCAATTTTTATTTAATTTATAATTTCAAATTTATATTATATATTATATATTATTAAATTAAAGCTATTAATAAAATAAAAAAAATTAAAATTTTTACTTTATATTAAAATTTATGATTTTATTAGTAAACTATTTTTATTTTAAAAAGAGTTATTTTAATTATAAAGTAATTATAAAAATTTTTTCTAATTAAATTTTTAATTAAAAAAATTTATAATACTTTATATTTAGAATAATTCTTTCAAAAGATTCTAAAAAATCTGAAAAAAATATATATTAATTATAAACTTTTATTTTATTTAATATAAATTTAAAAATATTTATTAATAAAATTATAAATTTTAATATAATATAATAATTTTAATTTTTATTATATTTTATTAATAGATTTGATCTTTTTTGATATTTATTATTAGTATATAATAAAAAAAACTGGATATTTTAATTTTCTTTATAAATATTTATTTAAATAACATAAAAATTTAAATATATATACTTGAGAATATGATAAATAACTTTATTTAAGACTACTTGAATACTTATCTTATTAAAATTTTTTATAATATTTTTAAAATTAAAAATTTTTAATAATAAGACAACTTAAATAAATTATTATAAATAAATTTGATTATTATTTTGCAAATTAATCTTAAGTAAACTTGTTTATAAATTATTAAGTATATATATTTAAAATTATATATAATTTAAATAAATATTTATTGAATAACAAACAAAAAAAGATTAAAAAGTATTTTAAATTTTTCATAATCAATTTTTTCAAAAAAGAATTTAATAGAAAAATATTAATTATGAAAAATTTTATTAAGGTAAGCTATTAAATACTTTTAAATAAACTTTTTTATTAGATTATCAAGCATATATATTTAAAATTTTATATGTATTAAATACATATTCATTAAATATAAAATATCCAGTTTTTTTATTACATCCTGTATATTTATAAAGATAAATCAATTTAGAATTAATATAAAAATCTTTATATTAAGTATTATTATAGAATATTTATAAAAGATATTTATTTATTTTGTTAAGTAAATTTCAATTAATATAAATAGATTTTTGAATAACTTTTAGTATTTTCATTATATTCTTAACTAAAAGAATATTAAATTAAAAAATCAATAAACTAATTCATAATTTTTATTAACTGTTTACTTTATGCTAATAAATTCTTGTTATGCTTTTGTTAAAGCAAGTGTTCCAAAAATAATTTTCTTTAATATTTGATATCAAATATAAAGTGTCAAAATATAAATATCTTTCATCCTTTTCAAATTTAATAATTGATAATTCCATATTAGCCCTTAATATATTGAAATTTATTTTATTAAAAAGAGTATTTGATGACTATTTCATTAGAATCTGGCTGATATTGTTAAGGATCAGTTTTACTGAACCAAATTTCAAATTTTTAATTTAATTCTGATTTCATTACATCTGACTATAATCAAAATAAGAGTAAGATACTAGATGAGACAGGATTATATGTGAAATTATTTTTCTAACATTTTTAATTAATTAATAATTCAAAACAAATATCAATTTTTTCGATAAACAATCTATATATTCTTATTGGTTATTAACAAAAATTTGCGCACTTATATTAGATAAATTAATGTTAGAATTTGATTCAGGTTCAGTAAAGCTTTAGAATCGAAACTATAGAATTTTAACAACTTATCCTGGTATTGCAAAAATTGATTACTGAATATATATACCAATTCTAAATATTTTTTTGTCATTTTAAAAAGTTTTTATGAAGCTTCTATAAAATGCGGCCTGATTAAGTTGACAAACATATTATACTTTATAAATGTTAAAGATTCTATTTCAAATTATATTTTAAGTTCTATTTCAAAATTCTATTTTGAATTCTATCTAAAATCATATTTACATTTGATTATTCTTTGGGTAATTCTCACGCAAAATTTATTTCTCTTTTTCATATTTTATTTTATTTTATTTTATTTTCTATCTTAAACAATAGATTGCATAATGATTAATTGAGAAATTTTAAAAATGTATAAATCTGTTCTTTGCTCAAATAAAAAAAAAGAATAACAATTGCGTAAAATTATTTTTTTCCAAGAAATCCATTGCTTGTAAAAAACTTCTACTCAGATTGCGTATGATTCTTGCCATTCTATTAGTAAATGTTAATAATTTGTTATATCAATATTTAAAGATTTTTATCTAGAAAAGCAACCGTAATAGAGTTAGAATCAAGATTAATAGGAAAACCACGTAGAAGTATAATCCAAATTACTTACCCCTTTCGTCCCCACAATTATTTTTATTCAACGATATCCGTCACAGGAATCGAGAATTACGATCATATAGATTTAATATTCGATCGTAGTTGGGATCTAATTAATTTTATTATTAATTCAATAAAAACATTATTTTTTCGTGCATGGTGACACAATAACAATGACGGAAGCAAGTACATGTAGATTCTCGGTGCGTGCATGCATACAAAGTCGATTATGTACATATTTTCCCTATCGCCATCGTTATTTGAATGTGTATAAATGTAACTGATTTGCAATAAAAAAGTTGTCTCAGAGAATTTTTTGGTCCTTTTTGTTCACTTTTGATTGTGACTATTGAATCTTTGATAAATCTACAAGAACACTATCGTCAATGGTATTTGTTGCTTAGAAAAAGAAAGGGAGAAAACATATACAACGCAATGTTATTATCGAAACCACAAATTGGAATATATGCTGTGACAATTATAGCAAGTATTCTCAATTAAGTCAAAGTATTGCATGTAATTACCAAAAATAATTTTAACTCAATAAATTCCAATTATAGGTGTACATAATCACCACTACATTCTCAGTAACAACACACTGGAATAAAAAACTCGCGAATCTCCCAAAATTTCTCAAGTTTTTATTCAATTTCTCTGGACTTTTTCGAACTGTATTAATATTATTGTCGGTGTCAACAACAGAACTGTTAGAATATAATGATTTTAGCAGTAATAGGTATATCGACAGTGATAGCAACAACTTGTTCCTTTCTTATTCATTGGTATATTTCTTGCTTATCGAGTCGATACGTATCTTGAATTCTGTATTCAAATTATCATTTGTGGCATTTCTGATATGGCGACTTGAACAGATACATGATTCTAGATTTGATGTACGAGTTGGAATCTTTTTGTTCACGGCGATGGCTGCTGGTCAGGTAAATGAAATATTATGTTGTCAACTGTTCAGCATTCAGTATGCATGCTAACGAAACTAAATTTTGATAGCTTCTTCAATTGTTCACTTGTCAACGTCCACAATTTATTGGACAAGGTATCGACAATTACTACTGCTGGAATTTTGCAGAAATTTCAGAGGTCCAACAAATGCAGCCACTACCACACTGGCCATTTCTCATACTCGATCTACTATTCGAACTATTCTTTACTTTGAGACTCACGAAATTTTTAATTAATGCAAACACGAATACTACCTTACTTCCAGAAAACATGAGAAAACCTAAACAACGAACGGTGTTCACAGCTGTAATAGTTTGGAACTCACTACGGCTTCTCACTAGCGTTCCTTTAATTATACTCTCGGCATATGAAGTCCCCTTAAGAGCTAAATACGTAAAAGATACGACAATTTTTATTGGAATCTTTGCTTTATTGAATGCAACCTTGACGATCGTAATGACTTTTGATACGGAAACTGTGCGATTTTTCGAGGGAAGTCCATGTCATGATAATAACGATGATGACCGATACGAAGAGTTGGAGAGAAGAGATTTACTTATTAACGATGTTGAAATACTAATGGCATCTTATCCAACAAGTGAAATCAATAGTTCTGATGAAGAGATTGCTAAAAACACCTAAAATTAAGTTTTTTAATATTAAGATTCGAAAGCATTAGGCTAAGTAATAGAAAGCAAATAACAGAAAGTAAATATGAATTCATTGAAATAATATGGTCTTGAAATTACATAATTTGCGAATTGAAATAAATAAATAAATTTAAGCATCACGGACATACAGGTTCAATGAATGGCTATGTCCTAATAAAAGAGTATACAATGAAATAACACCTATCGTTATGTTTACTTTCTTCTGGTCATTTTTTCAATTATTTCTGAATTCGTAAGAGCTTGGCTATTTATATTCTAAACTATCGCGATTGATTGTGCATTTTATTTATACACGGTCTGATGTAATTATACATATTCACTTAGCATTTCGATTTTAATTTTTTCTTCTGTTATCTTTTATATAAATGCTAAATATACTCGAGAAATCTTCAACAAACTGATACGTATGATTTTCGAAAAACAAATCAATAACAAAAAAGTTGGCATTTTTGAATTAAACGGAAAGAAATCAATTGATGACAAATTTATTTATTATTGCATTATATTTGTTACTGTCACCATTGAGAACTCTATATTTTTGCGCATAATATGAATTGGCTAAAAAATAAGTCAAACGATTAATTATTTGCAGTATAAAACAGCACTATGTTAGTCTCTTCGATAATTTACCGTGAAATATTATTTTTATTTTCATCTCCATCATGAAAAAATACCGGTCATACCCTTCCTAATCTGATGTAAATTCAATCAAATGGTTTGAAACTTTCACAACATAAAGAATAACACAAATCCCGATTCTCTATGTTATTATATCCTTATAGCATATCTATAATCTTGGAATTTTGATAAATCTTTATTCTCTTTATCCGATTTTTGAGACAAATTAAAATTGTGGCATTTTCATACGAATCGGATCACTAGCGCTAGATGCTGAGATATTGTATCACAATGACAATTTTTAATGGATTCTCAGCATCCAGTGATCTGATACATGCGTAAATGTCACCATTCGATTCGTTCTAAAATTTAAATCGAATCATTGAACGCCAAGATATTCTATCTTCAAAATGACCAATTTTTTTTCTTGCATTAATTTTTGATAAAAATCAATTTTTTCATTGGCAATTGATTGCAAACAAATCATAATTATTTATAGCTAATTACTAATGGATTCCAAATTCTGCAAAGATATTAAAATTGATCTTTAACATAAAAGGTTGTATTTTGGCATTAATAATGTACTTTAAAATAAAAAATATTTGTTTGCTTTATTTGTGTGGAGTATGTTACTTATGACCGGCACAGTCGCCATAAAAGTATCGCCTGATGTAATGATAACTTGATACACGGTGTTTATTGTAATTTCCAAAACACAGATGACTAAAGGAAAAATACTAGCTTATATGAAAAATACAGTATGAGCGCTGAACAAATCGCAAGAAAATTAAGCGTGATTCCACCACAATACGACGTAAATTATTACACGAAAATTGTGCAGTTTGTTAACTGCCATGAACGTGCTAATAATTCTGGGATTTGATCTTATATTGCTCAGAAAATCCATTCATTTCAGAAAAGTAACGCAACTGCGCATGTTACTTGGCGTAAAGAAAAATAAGAACAAAACTGTCTACGATTGGAAAAAGATGATTTTTTTCGGACGAAACAAACGTGAAAATTGGAAAACAATTAGGGCATGACGAAACACGGAAGAAAGGTTTATTAGCACCTAAATATACAACCTATTTTAGCTGCACTAAAACATGATTCATTATTATCCAAGACGTTGAGTCCAATATTTGCAAAGGTAATTATGTTATTATATTGGCGATTAATTTTCATAAAATATCATGTAGTGAATTCTACAACGATAATTTTTACGCTTAGAACATAAACATTTTTATAAAGAAGGTTTAAATTAGGTAACATTAGAATTCTTCTATAATGTCTTTTGAGCTACCAAAAATTCAGTTTGTATATTGATGATTTTAAATCCTCGCATTTGGAACTAATGCAATAACTAGGCGTCAACCTCATTCTGTTCATAATCACCATATGCCACAAAATTTTCTCCTTGGCGACTGAAGTAACGGAAGAGACTGTGGCGTGGACACTGGCTTGGGATGGGACTGCTTTGGCTCAAGATAAGACTGCTCCTCTGATGAGACTTTTTTGGCTCGGAATGGGACTGTGCTGGTGTCGGCAATTCTTCAAGTATAGTCAGACTTCCTTAAATGCAATTTCAGTTCCATGACAAGACTTATCGATACCGTAATTCGTGGCATATACATCCCTTTTAATAATAGACTCTATCATAGATACGAGTGCTTAAAATTGTAAGGGACCCCGGTCTGTACTGTCATTCACGGCATAAACCACCCCCTCCTAGAGTAACCCCTCTAAAATTACTGACTTCGTTTACAATGGTCGTTCACCTTGTTGCAATCTCGTACATTACCATTCAAAGTTATATAAAGATATGCAACGTTAGTGTTTTCCATTTAGCACCTCTGGACTCATATATAAGATTCCATAAAATTTCTTAGTACTTGCTTTCCCATGGTCTGAGTGTTTAAAGTCTAGCATAGTTGTCATTTTTTTGTGAGCTGCTAGGTTTCGGTAATCGAATACCATATAATAATTGTAGTCTTTAGACTATAGATTTTGTCAAAGAATTACAGGTTTTGCCAGTTTCGTCATCGGACGAATAATGTGACGAAACCATTCGTCATCATGAAAATAGTTTCGTTAGGTATCATTAATGATGATGTATACTGATTTTGCTTGGTTTAATAATTCATCTTTAGTTTTTTCTCTTCCATTTTATAACAGGGAGTAAGATTATATTGTGCGTTAGAATGTCCAGACTCTGCTGCTTTCTATTGTCACTCGAATGCTTTTTCTTCTTTAATTATTCCTTCCTTATTTTTGGATATGTTTATATTCCGAACTTATATTACACGTAAAACAATTTACGGTAGTACGTATGCGCTTTTGGTTTTAATAACTACGAACATGTACATATAAACCATTTACATGTATGTAATAGTAAAGGTAACATTGAAAGATATTAGTACAAACAGTCTAGTCACGTCAACAGCCGCGCAAGGCGTGAAATTTTGCCATTGATCTCAGATAATTTTTGTATTATTTAATTAAATTTTTGTTGATTTGTGCGAAAAAAATAATAACTTTTTTAAAACCTTTTCCTCAATACTTATTCTCGACTCAATACTGGATTTATAGAAGCATTTTGATCACAGCCAAATTAGCGGAGATTCGAGCGAAATGACGTGAGATAAGTTTTCCAGATGTTAAAATTAAAAACATTTTACTTGTTTATTAAATAAGGAATAAAGAATATATGTTTGTTCTGAATGATGACAATTTAGCAAACGTAAAATAAATAATCGGGTCGACAAAATGACAGAGACTCTCAAGGATGAAGGAATGAACTGTGCAAACCGCTGCACATGCAGGTAAGCTAC